CCAGTAGGTTGGACTCACTTGCTAGTTCAAAGGCCTGTAAGCAAATATCCTGTGAGTGGTTCCGCACATGAGAGCAGTTGGGGCTCATCTACTCCCCAAAACGCATCCTGCCCAAGTTCTGGCTTCTTCAGACCCACGCAGCCTCCAGGAGAACACAGAATAGTTAAACCACTGCCCACCTCCCTCCCTCGTCAGATTGCTCTCTGCCACCCTCCCTCCTTGAAGAGGGAGGAGATGTAGTCACTCTGCACTCCCAACACTGGCCCCACCTCAGCTGGATGCTGTGGCACCTCCCGAGCAAGCTGAGCAAGGTGAAGGGCAGACAGTCATTCCAGCAGTCACATGCTTCGCCCAGCTGGAATCACCCCCACCATCCCCCCAAAGCATTCTTTATTAGGGAAAGCTGCATCTGAGTCCTCTGCTTTGTTCCTGTTGGGGTACTGGGTTGGTGGCAGCAGTCGTGATACTCAAGGAATCCCAGGTATGTAAGATCCCAGGAGGCTCGTGGCTTGCAGCTGACCGGCCATGCATGGTTCCCGGCCAACAGTCAGAGGACATTTCTCCCCTCAGGCCCACCCACCACCTTCCCAGTGCGCTTCCCGACCTCTCTCTCCTTTGGTGAAGCTCCTGCAGCAGAGGCTCAAGGACCCGGGTCTTCTGGGTCCAGAATGGCAGCTGGCAGAGCCCAGCCCACCACACTGATGGGGGAAGGCTCTCATCTGGGTTCGCCTGGAGCTGGGCGTCCCTGAAAGGAAGACGTTTTCCATTTTAACCCAGCTATGTTTTCCTCCACTCTGCGTAGTCTTGACAAAGGTCACTGATGACCCCAGTTGCAGACTTGCAGCAGTCTGGATGTCTTCCAACACAAAGAAGCAAAGACAAAACCATGCCTTCCTTAATTAAATGAGTTCAAGATGCTCCATTCAAGAAACATGGGAGGACTCCCCACAGGAGAGGAGAAAGGGCAGGTGACACAGCCCTTTGTTTCCGCGCCTGCCAGGGGCTCTCTTCTGAATCACCAACAGAGCTGCCTAGAAGGCTGGGACATGGAGACTGCACGAAGCCACCATCCTCGCTGGGGGCTGACTGTGAACCCGCATGTCTCACCTCAAGGACCCTTAGCACAGTCTGGGGTGTGTAGACAGGACTCTCCAGAAACCCTAGGAATTACAGGGAGCTCGTAACCCAGATAATCCAGCCCACGAGGTGACGTTGCCTCCGCAGTTTCCCTGTCATGCCACAGGCAGTGTTTCCCAGTTCCCCGCGTGGTCACCACCGGCACCCCGGCAATCTGGAGTCATTGGGCCAGTCTCGAATGGGACTTAGGAATTAACTTTTTCGAGTTAGCCTGGTCCTTATCATCTGGGACCCTCGACGGTCCCGCCTGTCTGCCCACCATCTCCCCTGCCCAGGTAAGGCCACCTTCCAAAGCCTATCTCCCCTCTCCCGGTCCATTCCTGTCCTGCAACCTGCCCTGGAGTGATGGCTCCGTTAGGGAAGATGCATCATGCAGGTGGCCTCTGTCGCCTGCACAGCAACCACATCAGAAGACCAAGGGTCACGTCACATAACGATGTCACAGAGGTCACCTTAATTCCTCCTGCCCCCTCCCCACCCCACTCCACCCTCTCAGAGGGGACTGGATGAACACATGCCTTCCCCCTCCACTCTCATTCTCTGAAACCCATTTCCCTTGGCCTGCAAATTGAAGAAATACCAAAAGGGCCTTACCTTGTCAGAAACTGCTTTTGTTTCAGTTGAATTGGTTGATTGGGTTAGTCCCTTAACTGACCCCAGAGGACGAAGAATTCACCAGCAGGGGTTCAGTGGCCCCACCCACCCTGTGTGGGTGGTCTTCCTTGAATTCACAGACTTCCTCTACTATTTTCTATCAAGTCACCACAGCTTCCAGCATCATAGAGGAAGATCTGGAGGAATATTTCTTATGCTTCTGATAATAATGTTCAAAGTAAAGCACGAGAAAACTCTCGACATTATTAGTCATTAGAGGAGTTGAAACAAAACCATGAGTTACCACGTTAAACTAGAGTGGATATAATAATTTTAAAAAGCAGAAACTTACAAGTATTGGTAAGGATGTGGAACAACTGGAACTCTTGTACTTTGCTGGTGGGGATATAAAAAGGTGCAACCTCTGGGAAGAGCAATGTTCTGTTCCTCAGAAATTCAAAGGAAAGTTAACATAGGATCCAGCAATTTCATTCCCAGGTATATTTCCAAAAGAATTGAAAACAGGTCTCCAACAAGTACTTGAACATGAATGTTCATAGCTGCATTATTCACAACCCAAATGGCGATCAACGCTCAAAAGAACGAACAAAACTACGGTGTTTACATATGATGGGTAGTGACTCAGCCCTGACACATGTCCCAGTGTGGCCGGATCTCAGACACACTGTGCTGCATGAGAGAAGGCGGACAAGAAGGTCATGTAGTACATGATGTCACTTCTCTGAAATGCCCCCAAAAGGTAAATCTATGGAAACAGAAAGCAAATTGGTGTTTGCCTGTTGGTGGGGAGTGGGGCCAGGGAGGAAGGGCGTGGGGCGTGGCTGCTTAAGGGAACAGGGTTTAATCTCGGAGCGATAGGAATGTTTTGGACATGGAGAAGGTGGTGGCTATACAACCTATGGATGCATTAAACGCCACTGAATTTTTCCCTTTGAAACGGTTAAATTTACGAGACAGGCACACCTTGTAGATATTGTGGGTCAGCGCCAGCCTCCCACACTAAAGGGAATATTGCCATAAGGGGAATCACACAAATTTTGGGGTTTTCCAACGCATATAAGATTCTGTTTACACTGTACTGCAGTCTACTAAGTGTGATAGCATCATGTCTAAAAGATGTACATACCTTAAAAAGTACTTTATTGCTAAAACATGCTAACCATCATCTGAGCCTGTTGATGAAATGGCTCTGATATAATTGTTTGATGAAGACTTACCACAAACCTTCACGTGTAAAATAACACATCTGTCAAGTGCAATAAAACAAGGTGTGCCTGCCTATGAATTTCACCTCAATTAAAACAAAATGTCAACACATATGAGGGAAAAAGAAAAGAAAAAGAAGCATCGGTAGCCAGGTGGGCTTTCAGATGCTGTCTTCCTTTGCCAGACGTTGGAGAGAAGGGGACGCATCCTCCCCGACTGAGCTGCCTGAGATTTGGGGCCTGCAGCTGCCTCTTCACACTCACAGACCCCACTCCCTGCCCTGGCTGCCGTCCCCACTTGGCTGAATCCCCAGGAGACTCATGGAAACAGAATAGTCTTCCCTAACCAGAAGGTCAAACTTATAACAGCTTACTCAGGTTTATTAGCATATAAAAGGAAAATACTTCATTACAGACCACAACTCAGAGCCATTAAAAGGCCTCTTGATTATATATGAGAACTCAGAAATGATTAAAACTAATTCTACCTAGAAGTTTCAGCTTACTCATTATAAACAAATAACAGCAGAAGGAAGTCGTGACCATCTACCCTCTGTTCTAATTTTAAAATGTGAATAATTAACTTTCCAGGGAAAAAAGCACAGAATTGTTAAGAGCAGTTTAATCCGATAAATGCCTGATGTAGAAAGAGGCGCGCGGCTGCGCAGACCGCCACCGGCCCCATTCGTGGCCGTGGCTCCCAGGACATCGATCTCGGCTCCAGCTCAACCCCTGGAGCAGGCTCTCCAGTGAGCTCCGCTTTCGGACACAATACTGATTTCAACGGGGATTATGGCTTGTGTAAAAGCCAAAAAATATTAACGTTTTTGCTACGTCAAATTTTGTTCCCCCAACTGCTAAATCATTACAGATTTCATCTTCTAAGAATCAGTTTCTCCCAGGTAGAACTGCTCATACTTAGGAATTGTTCCTTACAGTTTATATCTAGAATGAAATATTTATTACTGGACGCAAGTAAACAAAAGGTTTTGTTCAGCAATAGCCTTATGAGAACGAAGGTCAGTGGTCCAGACGATTCGGCACCGTCCATTGTCACACGGACGGCCACATCCTTCCCGGACTTCTCAGGGGAAGCTATTGAGCAAAGTGTCCCAGGAAACTTGTTCTCTAAAAGGGTCCCTTCACTACATGGAGGCTTGGGGTGGGGAGGGGCCAATACAATGGTGACTGCCCCAGTGTAAATTACTTAAGTGCCCTAAATATCTTCTTTCAAAAAAGGAGAGAGAGAGGAGGAGGAAGGAGAGAAAGAGAAAAGGAAAGAAGAGGAAGAAGAAATAAGAAATTAGGAGAGCAATCCAGAAGCAATTAACACTGGAAGCAGAAGGGACCCAGCTAAACATTACCAGCCCTTCTGGCTGCCTTCGCCAGCACAGCGTCCTGGAACGTGCACCTGGCTTTCAGACACCACTGACAGGGCTGCAAAACCCCGCCTCTCCGTTTATATGCATGTGACCTTGAATAAGTTCATTAGCTTGTCCCAGCCTTTTTTTTCTTCCTCCAATAGGAACGCTCCCACTGACTACCTGGAATCATAGGTCTGAGCGAGAGAAGGAGCATAAGCGTCCACCGGGCCGGGGTTGGTGGGGGGATGCCTGCCCTGGTGTCCAAAGTCCTAACACCTTAACCTGTATCAGGATTCGAATGAGTCACCCCAAGATGTGCCTCTGGGGTATGCAGATTAATTTGAGCTAAAAGCAGCCAAGACCCTACAAGAGAAAAGTCTGCCCCTCTCCCCCTTTAACTACCCAGAAGAACTTGAATTTGGGGCCTTGCCCGTAAGAAATTACAAGAGAGAACCTTTTCTTGTCTGCCTGCAGGGCAGGGCAAACCACTAATCACGGAACACCTGCTCTTCTCCTCCTCGTGCGGTGGTGACGCTCTGAAGCCCCCAGTGCCTCAGCCCGGCCTTAGCCCAGGAGGCCATGCACATCTCGCTTCACCTTTCCATCCCGGCCTCGCACGCATGTGAGTGTTCATCATGGGTGTTGATGCTGCACCAGGAAATCAGAACACAGCTCACGCAATTGTATTTTTTATTAAAAAACAAGTTAAATAAAATAGTGATCGGTTCTATATAAAACTGAAGGGGAGTCCATAGTTCACGGTGCAGGAGGTGGAGGAGGGGGAGACGAGGACGTGGCTGTAGCAGTTTCTTTTTCTTCGTATCTGGGAGGCAATTCAGATGAGAGATGCAGAGTGTGTGCGCTCTCGGAGGACAGGGGAGCCCCCGAAATAGTGTATATGGGCACGTGCTCCCTCGCAGGGGCCCCGCCTTGGCCCTCAGGGGTCGGGGTCCTGCTGAAGAGAGAGAGGACACGGGAAAAGGAAGAGAGGGAAAGAGTAACACACCTTAAGGAGAAGGTTCTTTTCAAATCTGCAAGGACATGAGGAGCAAGTTTTCCACATTCTACTATTTACAGATATGTTTCAATTCCTTGCTCCTTACTTTCCTTAGAGCCGATTGTAACATTAAGACAGTCTCACTCCTGTTGTCATGTCCTTTGTCGCTGAAAAGAAAGGGAGCACAAATGTAGAGGGGCCGTCCAAAGAGCATACACACACACAGAAGAGTCACCATTCTCTGCTACTTTGTCCCCTAAGGCAGCTAACAAAAGGCAGAGGACCTTATGCAAATAGAAATCAAATCATTAGGCCACAAACTTGAAGAAAGCAGGAAGGTGTGCTTCATTAACGGGGTGGGTGTCAGCCACAGGCCCGCCTGCATCGGAGTTCACAGGCCACTGTGTTCTAGCGGTGTGATCTCTAAGTCTCAGTCCCTCCCCTGTAGAATGGGGATAGCAGTGCACACCTCCCGAGACCAGGAGAGTTACATGAGGTCATGCAAGAGAAGCCAGACTCAGGCCCACAGAAGTCATCGAAGCAGTAGTAGGAGTAGTTTTTGTTTTATTTACTAAGGTTAATAGATGTTTCTTTTAGGGCTTAGAGAAGTTCATCATTGGAGAAAAGAGTAGAAGAAGTCACTAACAGAATTCTACAAATGTCCAAAACCTAAACTCCCCTTCTTCCGTGCAGGGCAGTTCCCACATCCATCGCTGGTGGGATGGCCAGCTCACCACCCCGTCTGAAGCACAGGAACACACGCCTGAGAAGGTGGGCGGCCGGCCAAGGCAGCACAGTCCCCAGCACGCTCTCTGTGCCCCTCAAGCCCTGCTTCTCACTGCGTTCAAAAAGGCACATGTCTCGGTGCCTGGAAAGTGGCCTGTCACCGAGTCCTGCTCATCCACTCACCCACCCTGTGAAATCTCCCAGCAATCCTTCCTTCACTTCCTGCATCCTGGTTTCCCATTCGAGAAGGTACCAGAGCCTTCACCAGCCCTGCTCCTCCCTGGCACTTCAGAAACTCCATCCCATCATGCCTGCCCCTGTGCATCCTCTGCAGGTCATCAACTCCCTGCCCTCCCGGTTTCAGCAACCTCTCCCCAGTTCCAACTGTCAGTCAAGGCCCAGCCTCTCCAGTCTACCTGGAGAAGCCACATCTCACTACTCCTCCATCACAAGCAGCTCCCCCTCTTCTCCCCACCTGCACCGAGCTTGGTCCCAGCTCCTCCTCAAGCAGTAGCATCCTCTGTCCCTGTCACTCACCCTTGACCTCGGCTCTTCCTCACTGTCCTGTCCATTCCAGGCTCCCTCCCACACACCACAGTTCTAGGCTCTTGTGACTTCAGGCCTGTCCTTGGACACAGCCTCCTCACCGGCTTGGCCCCGCCGGCCTTTGTCCACTGTGAACTGGGCTAACTAATCACTGCTCGTGGCCCACTGCACTGACTCCACAACCTGCAACTGCATCCCTCTGCCTCAAAGAAAAGGCACTTAGATGTTGCAGTTGCATCTGATCCGAGGTGCACCCCCTAGTTTGTGGGGTGGGGCTGTGCATCTTATACTTCCCTTCAATCAATCTGAGAAAGCTCTGAGGCCAGGGAACAACTTAATATTGAGGGGGAAAGGCAGTTTGGTCAGGTCAGGTGCAGGTGACTTTGGCCAGTCACTCAGGTGCCTCCCTTACAGGTCCCCTGGGGCCTCTGCACCTCCCCACAATCTAAAGCAGCAAGTGGGGGACCTCCAAGCCCTCACTCAGTGCTCGGGGTGGCTGATGGGTGGCTGAACATTCTGAGGGGCGCCCCTACTAGGAGTGCACAACAGAATGCCTGGAGAAGGCTTCACGTGAGCTGAGCACAACCACTTTGATAATGTGTAACTTGCGAGCTGGCCACAGTCTCCTGAAAGGCACTGTTAATGTTAAGGCAATGTTCTCTCATAATGTCAGCAAAAGAAGATATTCACACTCTGATGTTTATTCCTATACAACAGCCTTAAAGCTGATTTGTCCTAAATTTGGGCATAGGCCCAAAAAGGTTAAAATGCTACCCATGAACCTCAAATGGAAAGTCTTACCCATGGTTAAAGATACTGTAATAGGAAGGTGGACTTTCATTTGGAAGCGAACTGTTAGCCGTAGGACTTCGAGGTGCTGCAGGAGCTGAAGACTCAGGGAAGTAAGGTGGTGGAGGGGGCGGGAATATTATCACAGCATCGCCTAAGGAAACACAATATGTTGTTGAAGATCCATGAGTAATAAAAGCAAACAAATTAGCAAGAGCAAAATAAATCAATCACGTATTTGGCCCATCGATAGAAATGGTCAAAACACCAGTGCCAACTCCAGAATTAAAAGAGGGCTAACCAGACTGACAGGGACAGAGGTGGAAGTTTCCAGGGGCTGGGAGCAACGGGGTGGGCGCTGGTGCTTGCTGGGTGCCAAGCTTCTGCGTGGGCTGACGGGAAACTTCTGACGGTCGCCGGGGGTGACAGCCGCACAGCATTGGCAATGCACTTAATGCCACTGCACCCTTAAGGAGGGTCAGGGTGGTGAATTTTATGTTATGTGTGTTTTAACACAATTTTTATAAAACAGTCACCCTGTACTTCACTGCAAGTCTGAGTGATAGCGCTTCAATGAAGCGTTCCCTAACAATGTGCCTCGCTTGCCGTGTCCACAGTTTTAAAGCTTTTCTTGTGTTTAACTCACAATTTTCATTCATCGAAAGTTGACTGTTGGATAAAGCATCTTGTTGCTCAAATGCAGTTTCACCTCTGAACAAATGACAACCAGCTACCCTACAGACTAGCGTGGGTATTCCACAGCTGTGGTTTATGCTCTGTGGTCTTTTATCTACCAGCCTCACAAAACAAAGTTAAACTCAAACATCTTGTTTTTATCATTCCAGCTCACACACCTGTGTTTTGGGGGCGGAGACATTCGGGACCAGATGCAAGTGCTAATTTTGTGTTTCGATTCCAATACAAAATGCACCAGGTGAGCTGCTCAGAACATTCTAGCCCTGAGGCAAGCACCACTACATAGAGGTCTGAGGACAGCCTTTGGGAGTTGGTGGCACCAAATGACAACGCAGGAAACACGAAGGAGAAAAGAGCACTTCTCTGTGGGAAGGAGCTGGGTTTGCAGAGGCAGGAGTGGGGGGTCGGCAGATCTGATGCTTGCCTAGGCAGGTACAGGACTCCGTAAAGCTCCCAGGGTTCCATAGGCTGGGTACCAAGCCAGCACGGCCCCGACCAGGTTCCTTAACCCCTCCAGACCTCAGCTGCCACACCTGTAAATTGCAGGCCATAACTATACCTGCCTCAGAGGACAGGTAGGAGGATTGAATTCCTGTGCAGAGGGTGCCTTCTTGTCACTGCCCAGCAAGGGGCGCTTATTTGCATGTCCGAAGAAAGATCCCCAACTGGCAGTCATGGCCAGGGGTTCCACTCCGCCTCGGTGCCCAAAGCACTGCCCGGGAGGTAACTTAGCCCTGCAGAAAACCCATCACCTCCATCACTCCTCGCTGTTGGAGGTTTCCTTGCTAACCTAGACTTGATAAAACACAATGGTTGTCTCCTCATTTTTTTCAGAAGGTCTGGGTAGGTCAGAGGAAGCAAGGTGAAGTGCTCACTTTCAGTTACACACTGGAGAATGCAGGACTGGGGCATAAGCCTCTAAGGCAGTCAAGTGACCTATCAAATACAAACAAGGAAATGTTCAAAGTCATCAGCTGTTATCTCTGGGGCTTGTCCTTCCTGCACAGTCCGCTCCCAGCCCTCCCTCACCTTGCAATCTGCTTTCACCAGGAAAGATGTCCCATTGCGCACTGGGGTTTCCCTTCCCCAGGCCTGAAGGACTTGAGGTTCTCTGTACCTTCACAGCACAGACCCCTTGAGGGAGGACTATCTCCTACACCTGCCTGCGTACCCAGGGTCCAGCGCTGAGTGTGTCCACAATGCAGACATCGCTGGTGTATCTGCTGTGTAGTGGGAGAGACTTCCACCCTGGGAACAGCTGAATTCTGGGACTCGGGTCCAAGAACTGCCTCTTAGCACCCCAACTTCCCTCGTAAGGCAGAACTGGCCTTTGGGAGACAACATCCAGGACATTATCAATTGTGCCAAAAGTCAAAAACAATTTATAAAATTTTAACCCTTATCCTGTACTATCAAAAGAGAAAAACACGGAGCTAGGATGCCAGATTTTCACAGGTTTGAGGGGACTTAAAGGGTTAAGTGGCAAAGATTAAACTATGCAGTGCGGGGCCAACATTAGACCCAAGTGCCCAGGAGTCTCCCTGCCCCGGCACCAGCAGCCCTGCCCCCTGGCACCCCCTCCCATTCCAGCCGCCAGGACAGAGGCACCCGGAAACTCTCCTGATAGCAAGTCCAAAGGGCGCACCTCAAAATGCCCTCAGCGAAGTGGAAGACCACGCACCCCACGAGTGCCTTCACCTGGGCCCCACTTTGCTCCCCGGAAGGGCTCAGAATGGTCTCTTCTGGGTGAGCCCTTCTGTCATGTGACAACCCCCCGGAACACCTGGGGGGATGGAAACAGCAGGAACAGAAATACAGCTCAGTGAGCTGGGGAGGGTGCTGTGCAAGGGCCACCCCACCTGGCCTTAGGCGGGTTATTTGGTAACCCTGGGCCTCAGGGTTAAGAGTTTCTTCATGTCTAACTTGGAGGTACTAAAAGTACCTGCCTCAGTGGGTTGTTGTAGGCGTGAAGGAATTTCACACAATAGGCCCTTGAAGAGCACGTGTTAACAGCACTTAGATGGGTGTTTGGCACAAGAATAAATGTTATGCGTGTGTTAGCTATCATTAAGACATACCTAATACTTGTACTGTCCCCTGACACAAAGAAGCAAGCTGGGAGCACCAACCCTGGCTCCGCGCAAGGACTGTCCAAGGCCACCTGCCCTTCCTCCCTGAGTCCTGACCCTGCAGGGCCCGCAGCCCAGGGAAGCGCCCGCCGGTGCTGGCTCTGGTCACAGTCCTGACATGAGAATCATCTCACTTGCACCCTCCTTCTCTGTTTCCTCCATGCTTTCTGCTCTGGAATTCTCTGGCTGGCCTTTTAGATGTCAAGGCTGTGGCTTCAGAGCTTCATCCTTTCAAGAGTGGGAGACTGGGAAAAAAAGTAATTTGCAAAGATGAGTAGTGATGGGGTTTTTCCTTGATTGTGTGAAGCTGAGGCTAACACTACTGGTGCTGTTCTTTGGGGAGTTGACTCTGGGATAATCCATCTCTTCAGCAGGACCCAAGGGACCCGAAAGGAATTTCTGGGCATTCCATGGGGGAAAGAAGTGACAGATGTTGTCACACTTTGTTTTCACTTATGCTTCTGCTTCCAAACTTTGGTCTAATTCTGAAGTTACAGAAAATAAAGAACAATGAAGAGAACAGAAGGCCCCTCGGAACACAGAGGACCTGGAAGGCAGTGCTGGGAGAAATCTTAGAGGTGCAAAGCCCATTTTATAGACATGTAAACCAAGGCCACGAGAGCTTAAGGATTTACCCAAGGCAGTCAAGCAGCGACGGTTGGGGATGAGACCTCACATGCCCACCAAGGCAAAGTGCCACAGGTTTCTGTGTGAGAACAATGGGGGAAAGGAGATCACTTGGCAGGTCCCTAAGGTGACAGAGGACTCACAGATTATCTTTGAGGTTCTTCTCAGTTTCCTCTTGATTTGCTTTGTCACCTCAAAGTCACCACTTAGAGTCCCAAAGCTTTTGCTAAGTCATAACAAACTGCTGTAACAAAATGATGTGTACAAGGACTCCGCTGGGGCTTGCCTTTGCAGCAGCACCGTGTGTGTGCATGTGCGCGTGTGCGCACGTGTGTGAGTGCGTGAAAGGGGGAGATGGAGCCAGAGGCATTGAATCTAGGCCAGACCGAAGGGCAGCCCAGGGAAGCCTGGAGTGACAGCCACTGGGACGTGAGCGAGCACAGGAACGACAGCCACCCACCTACGGTGACCTGGACAGGCTCCGTGCTCTGGGTCTGTCTCTCTTCACTTTCGGAGGCGTGCTGCTCCTCACTCAAGTTGTTTCTCCTCTTAACATGGGCCACCACGAAGAAACACAATCCCATGAGCACGATCAAGGGCCCCAGGATCTGCAGGGACAGGAACCCACAGATCTGGGGCTCCTCATCAGCAGTGTCTGTGTCATTCATCGCCTCCTGTTCCCAGTCTGGGCCACAGCCAGGGACCCAGATGCCCAGTATGCTGATGAGCATGCCACTGGTCAAGAAGAGAAATCCAAAGATGAGGCACTGGGCAAACCGGCGGCTCTCTCCGCAGATGAAGGCTTGGTCAGGGTCTGCCTGGTGGCCTTGAAGGCGCCCCTCACGGAACTGACGCAGTGCCCGGGAGCGGGCCAGGATCACAGCTGCCAGCCCGACCATGGCACACGCAGGCCCGGCGACCTTCAGCACTACGCTGCAGTCCGGGAGGGGTTTGTACTGGCACGCCTGGAACCCGAAGATGGAGAGCAGGACCCCTACAAACAGCAGGATGGCACCAGAGACGAAAAGGAAGAAAATGAGCATGCTGACGTGCCTGTCTTGCTGGGCCCCACGGGGTTCGGCTGCTGCAGGAGACATGGCCAGAAGAGGCCCCTGCCCCAGGGAGGGGTGGGGTGTGCTCCTTTCCCTCCAGTGCTGTCCACAGCTCTGCAAATATAACCAAACTCCAAATCAAAGTGGGCACAGGCGTTCCTGACCCGCCCTGTCCTATTGCTGGCCATCAGAAGTCACACCAGGATGAAATCATAGGGAGTAGAATTCTATCCAGTGGACACACTGCAGGACAATGAATTGGCTTATGAGTCAGAAGGACTGGCATTCAGAAACCCCTGAAGACTTAATTTTATGAATATATTCAAGAAGAGGAAATGCAGTTACCACGTACCTAAGAGTACATCTAAAAAACAAAAACAAAACTCTTCATGGGGCTATAAATTACAGCACAGAGAATATATATGGTCAATAATACTGTCATAACTGTGTGTAGTCCCAGACTTACTGAGTGATCACTTTGTAAGTTACATACATGTCTAATCACTATGTTGTACATCTTAATATAATATTGAATGTCAACTATAATGAATTTTTAAAAATTTTTTAAAGATTTTATTTATTTATTTTTAGAGAGAGGGGAAGGGAGGGAGAAAGAGAGGGAGAGAAACACCAGTGTGTGGTTGCCTCCTGTGCACTGCCCACAACCTGGCCCACACCCAAGGAAGGTGCCCTGACTGGGAACTGAACCGGCAACCCTTTGGTTTGCAGGCCAGCAGTCAATCCATTAAGCCACACCAGCCAGGCTAATTTTTTTTTTTTTTTAGTAAATATTTTTTTAAACCATAGGACAAAAGTAACCGAATGTGGCTTTTCCTGTTCTAAGTCTTACAAAGTCACACTCCCAGACAAAAAAAGAAAACAATGGTGAGTGAGGGAAGAATCACAAGGATTATTTTTGATGTACAGATGCCCCACATTTCATCACAGCTGCTCTGAGCACTTCCATGTCAGTGAATTTTTGTTCAGTAACTAACTTTCCATTTCCTGTTTCAGACCCAAAGCAACTTTCCATTCTGTGCTTTATTCTAAGGCTACATGGACAGGAGAGCCAAGTTTCAATTGAACGGGAAGGCAGTTCAGGAACCCAGTGGGCTTAGCGGTTATTAACTTACTTCTGTCAAAATGTGATTCTTGAGTTCTCACGCAGGGGCTTCCTTGGCCTGGAATCTGGGCACCTGGATGCTGGGGCCTGGGGATGATGACCCAGGGGAGGGTGGCGGAGCCGGTGAGGCGGGTCCTTGTCTGCCTGGTGGACCAACAGCCTCTCACTTGCCCTCCTCCTTGGCTCCACCCACTTCCACAAAGAGGTTGAGGCTGTTAAAAACAAACAGGTGATAAAATCGACAGTTACAAAGCACTAAACGGCAATAGAACTTGACTTTGTAAGAAGAGTATGAGTGAAATCAAGTGAGAAAGCACCTTCACAAGATCACCCAAGCCCTGTTCTACACGGGTATCACATGTTAAATAAACCCGGAGCAGCTGTTTCCTAGTGGTCTGGTACACACAGACCGACTTCACTATCCAGTTACCTGTTTACTCTAACAGGCGGGTATTTTACCAGGACCCTTCAGGTTGGGGCATTCTTGAAGACACTCCTAGCGTGAAGACTGTCTTCAGTGCTCAAGGAAAGGAAACCTTTGAAATACCTTCTGCCCTTTGCATCCATGGTCACATGAAGGAGCTCAAGACAGAGGCCAGTGCCACCTTGACAAACCCAAACCGTGACCAAGCAGGGTCAGTTAGGGTAAGGAAAGCGAACAGCCTGTCTTACATGAGGAAGTGCTTTTCCAGGAAAAACTAAAGAACCAAAAGGAAGTTGAAGAAAAAAGGAAGTGTAGGAGGGAAATAAGTTTTTATTTTTAAACTTGGACAAAGCATATTTATGAAAATGAGTGCAGTCCTTTACAAAGATGTAAAGGACTTTACTAATATTTTTTAAAGTTTCTGAATCGTGTTATCCCTTTTGCTGGTTCTGCTATGAGGGTGATTCTCTGCTACAAAGCCCTGTCAGGAATTCACTGCGTTCCCGGGACCTTCGGTTTTGAAGTGAGTCGCAAGGCTTCGACCATCTCAAGGCCAATCCCCAAATACCAGTAAAGAAAACAGAAGCCCCAAACTGGATTTTAGCTTCTTTCCGTGGCCTAGTGGAGTAAGCACAGATGTTAATCCCTGAAGCAAAATAACGTGTGGGTCAGTCTGTCTGTCTATTCTCTCCATACGCGAACTCACAGCCAGACACGCAGCCATCTACACTAATAGAAAATTTAACCTTTTCCAAATACCAACTTAATTTCGCAGAGCCGAGCTCGCCCCCTCGCACCCCATCCCTTTTCCTAAGGGCATCTCCGATTCAGTAGCACCGAAGAACTTCCAAAGCTCTGGTGCGGCTGGGGGTCCAGGCAAAAAGGCGAACGTCTCTCCGGGAAACAGCTCCGTGGGTTTTAGGGAGCCCGGGGGCTGGGCGCGCGGCTCTCTCGGGCACAGGTTAGCGCGCGGGGCGCTGGCGCAGCTCCCGGCAACCTCGCCCGGGACGCGGCGAGGCTCGGGGTCCGGAGTCGCTTACCTGCGGCTTCGTCTAGCGAACGCGCTTCCCCGGAGCCCGCTGCGGGTTTGGGGTAGGCGCTCAGCGGGGCAGCGGGCAGCGGGCAGGTCGCCGATCCCCGCCGCACGCTCCCACCTGCGGAGGGCGGGCCGCCACGGTATTTACAGGAGGGGGCGGCGCCGGGAGGGCGCGGCGGCCGGGGACGGCGGGCAGGGCCGGGCAGGGCGGACTGGCGCGAGCCGGCCCTCACCGGGCGCGGCCCTTCGGCGGGGAAGCGCGCCCGGCAGAGGAGAGCGAGGCGCGGCTGCGCCGCCCAGGGCTGGGGGACCTGCGGCTTCCGAGCCCGCGACTGTGCGAGCGAAGAACCCGGGAATAAGTGAGCCCCGCGCCGCCCCCCAGGCCCGCAGCCCTAGGGGAGTCGGGCGGCGAGTTGGGGGTCTGCTGGCTGTCGGAACTGCGCGCTGCGCGGGCCGAGATCCGGGGCAGGAGCTGGTTTCTTTCGGGGCCAGGTTCCAGGGTTCGGGGGAGGGGGCCTGAGAAAGGGAAGCGGCTTTTGCCCCACCAGCGGGGCCGCCGCGTGGGGCTCCCGCGTCCCCGCGGCCACTCTCTCGGCCGCCCCGCGGCCTGGGGAGGGTCCATACAGTAGCCCTGTGCTCCTGCTGCCGTTCCTCAGACTTTGACTTGGGGTCACTGGAGCAAGTCCTTCCCTGAGAGTTCCCCGATGAAGGGGTTATAGAGATACCAGGTCACAGAAATTTGTGTGCCATTAGAATGTGAGACAAGGTTCTCCACATCCGAGCCGGTGAGACATGAGGAGGTCCTAGCTCCCAGACCGAAGCCGGACCCTGGCTGTCGCCACTGAGGGTCAGCCCTCCCTGCCTCACACAGAGGTGTGCTGGCGCCCCTCCTAGGCCTTAGAACCCCCTTCCCAGCTCTGAGTCACTGATGATCTGCTGAATTAAACTGGCAGCTTTCCCTGCCCTTGAACCAGCAGGTTCAGGATGGGTTTGCTAATCCCCATGCTATTTGTAACCTACCCAGTGACACGTGACACGGGCTCAACTGTGCCAGTTTGCAAACCAGAAGTCAGGGCATGTGAAGGTGAGTAAAGGGCTCAGCCCACCTCCGGGAGCCCTGGGGACTCCTCATCCCCACCACTGTTCCTTCGCTTCCTGTCCACTTTGCGTGGAACCCAGTAAAGTTAACGCCACTTGCATTAACCTTTTTAAAGTACAAACACATAGCATACCTTAATATAGCCAGTTGTTCCCAATAGTTCTCACTGAGGGCAAAGATGAGAAGAGTTTTAGCTAACTATGAGAAGTGAGAAGGAAGCTCTCAAAGAAGGGGTCAGACAGAGTCAAAGAGGGAAGGGTGTTAGCTGGGCTCTGAGGGCCGGACACCCGGGTGGTGAGATGTGGCTTCACCGGGAAGCACACTGGACAAGATCCAGCGTTGGAATTTGCTGGGGACACTTGCCCAGTGGCCAAATGTGGCCTTTTTCACAGTTAGCACCCCCTGGCCTCTGCAAACCTCTTCCTGTACTAAATAAAGGACACTGGTTATGACTGTAATGGAGAACCCTAACCTGGTGACCCCGTGATCTTGTGAGGCACTGTGTTCCTCTCTTCACCTGCAGCCTAAGGCTCTTTGCTGTGTGGCTCCGGGTCTCAGAATGTTGGAGCCAGAAGCAGCAGGGGAGCTAAAAACAGCTGTTTTTCCATTGAGGAAATTGAGGCCTAAAGACAGAAAGTTAGTCCACAGCTGGTTAATGTGAATCAGGTATACTACTGACTCTTCATTGTTCTTCCTGGGTACACCTGTCACCCAGAGGACACACAAAGCCACAAACTCAAAAATGGCTTTTTTATTACATGGCTTTTCGATTAGTATAACCATACAGACACTGCATCCTGAGCATATTACAGCAATCTGTTTCCAGACTGGAGATAATGCTGATCAAAGTGTCAGGTATATCACCTTCCGGAAAGGCCTCGAAGCACACCTGGCTAACACGCAGATTGCCCGCAGTGGCGGTTACATCACAGCGGTGGCACCAGCCTGTCTATGACCACAGGCCTGGACTACGGAATTGGCCCTGTCTGCTCAGGCCTGCTAACGACTCCTCGTATAAGAGGCGTTGTGTCTCCCCCCTACTCATTCTTACCTCCTCCCTTATTTAGAACTCAGTCTCTAGTGCATTGTGTGCGGACCTGCAAGGGGCCTATTGATACAGCTGCCCCTCTGGTGCCACATGACTGCAGGCTGGCCACACAGGACAGGCTTGAATGTACTGGCACCAAGGACAATCAGATTAGCTTCCACTTGGAATATCTTCTGCTTAGACTGTTTGTGTCTTTTGGATCCCATTTGACTAAATTAATCTCCATGGAAACCAGTCGTGGGTCAAGTATGCAAGACATACCCACCAGCCTTCAAGCAGCTGGTCTTGGTAGCAGACCTATGCTCAGGAAAGAGACCGGATGGGCCTGTCACTCTCTAAAACCAAATAGCCTTTTCTGGCCAGTGTAGTAGTGAGAAAAGACAAACCCAGGCAAAATCCTTAGAAAAGCGGCATCAGAACAAGCTTTAGAAAATGGATAAACCTTGAATTTGGGAAGCAAATTCAGAGAATTAAGCCAAGGCAAGCATTCATGTATTCGGTTAGCAAATATTTGAGTGCTGACCATGTGCCAATAAAGAAAATAGCACATCCTTTGCCAATGTGGAACTTATATTTTAATGGGGAGAAAGACAATAAAAGAAACATGTAAACTACACAGAGTATTCGAAAGCACCAAGTGCAACGGAGAATCAGGAGTCATGGAAGGAGACCGGTGACTGCTGGGGAGACTTCAGTTTCAATAGGGCAGTTAAGGAAGGCATGTCCCCGAAGGTGACATTGCAGCAAAACTTGAAGGGAATGAGGAAGCAACCATATTCATAAACTAAGATTGCATAACAAATTACCTCCAAATTTAGATGCTTAAAACAACTAAGATTTATTCTCTCTTTCAGTTCCTGAGGGTCAAGAATCTGGGAGCCACTTGGCTGGGTGGTTCCAGCTCAGGGTCTCTCAGTCAAGCAATTGGCCCGGGGCTACCTGCTCTGCAGGCCTGACTGGGCGGCTCCCAGGTGGCTTGCGCCCACGGCTGTGGGCAGGGGCCTCCGTTTCTTGCCCTGTGGACCCACCCACAGAGCTGCCTGGATGTCCTCAGGACATGGCAGCCGGCTTCCCCCAGAGTGATCCAAGAGAGAGCAAATGAGGAAGGCGTGGCAGTGCCTTTTACGAGGACGTAGCCTCCGGAAGTCCCACACCACGACTTCTGCTGTATTCTAGTTCTTAGAATTGAGTCCACCTCTTGATGGGGGAAGAATTTGATATATTTTAAAACTATGAATTTGAACCTGTTTGAAAGCTATGACAGAGAAATCTAATGGTATTTGGAGGAAGAAGGGAAGAACACTGGCAGAGGGAACAGCCCATGCAAAGGCCCTAAGGCAGGAACAGGGGAATTCAAGGCAGGAGAAGAGGCCAGGGTGTATGGGGCAGGCGAGGAAGACAGGGAGGAATAGGAAAGGAGGTCAGAGAGGGTGGTGTGTGGGTGAGCACGGCACCAGGTTGTGTGGGGCTTTGCTGTGGGCCCCGGTAAGTACTTTGAATGAGATGGGAACACTTGGGAGGTTTTTGTTATTTTTTTCCCCAACCAGAGTGTGATATGACCTGACTTATTTTTAAAAAGAAGACAGTTGCTTCTGGGTGAGAATAGCCTAAGGAGGAGGGAGAGTGGAAGGGAGGAGACCATTTAGGAAGCTGCTATAATAACCCAGGAGAGAGAGAGACCTCAGGCTTATGTTTCGCAGGTGATAAAGGCGATTGGGTTCTGTATATATCTCAGAGACAGGGTTTTCCTGGTCTGGATTTGGGTTTGAATTCCAAGCTTTTTGGCCTGAGGACCTGGAAGGATGGTTCTGGCACTGACCACGACAGGGAAAACTGAGGGCCAGTCAGGTGGCAGGGGGAGTTTTGGGGCTCAGTTTGGGGCATGTTAACTCTGTGACGTCCACTAGATATTCGAGTGGAGAAATTCAGTAGGCAGGTGAATACACATGCCTGGCGTTCAGGAATTGTGGAAGCTGATACCCAGTGCAAGGACCAAATACTGTCCTGTGGTCTGTCAGCGATGCTTGTTACAAAATCAAAAAGGCTGGAGGAGTTGATAGGTGCATGTGTAGCTACACCTGCCTAGTGACCATCCGCTGCCAGGCCTCCCAGAAAGCGCAGAGCACGGGACACAACTGGGAGGGATGAACTTCTGCTCTGTCCTCAGAGCGGTGACCTAAGGGCCACGTGTCCTTCACCCCACGGCACTGGCCACGTAACCCTTCCTGGGGCACTGCCAACCCGGAAAAGACATTCTGGATGAGTAGCATGTTTTGGCTTGGAGAATTTACTAGTGCCATTTTTCAGAATTGAAAAAAATGACAGAAAGACATTCAGTCATTAAGACTGCCAGCTTCTAGTTTCTCTCTCGGTCTCCCTCTGGTTCTGCCCCAAATGTGCCTTAGCACCCAGAAGCGTGCGTTCCTCCTCCAGTTCCTGACATCTCCCAAGACTCCGCTGGAGCTGGTGTGCAGGAATTTCTTCTCGAGTGCTCAGTCTTGGGTTGACATTTCATCAGTTATTCCCAGGACCGCCCGCAATGCCTCTGAACCTGGCAAGGCCCATCGAGCTGCAGACCCCTGCAACAGGTGCTGTGGTCAGGGGCGGCCGAGCCTCCTGGGCATTTTCCTCCTCCCCGACCCTTAAGCTGGACTTAGACCTAGGAGCCTGAGATACATGTCTGGAGTAAGACTGACTGATTTGACAAGCTTGAATTGAGGGTTCAGATTTAACTCCTTAGCTGATACCCAGTGCAAGGACCAAACTTTTGCAGTCATTTTATTGCCCAGGATGGTGCGGTTATTTTGGCAAGGTTTATAACTGCTTAAGTGCAGTTAGCTGGAGCCAGGGGTAGGGGATGCATGGAGTTGTCTCAGAGAGAGTGAGGATTTGCCTGGTGCTCACGTGGTTTCACTGGCAGAGGCCCCCACAACACCGAGAGCAAGTCACCCCTTCCACAGCTGCGACAGCAGCCAGGCCGCAGGCTAGAGACCAGACATTGACAGTAAGGGTTTCACAGAAATGCAGTGACCTCCTGGCATCTCGTGTTGGCTCCATCAAACACCTACCACTAAACAG